AAATAAAAAATTAATTTTATTTTTTAAATAAAAATTAATAATTATTATAAAATTAATATTCTTTATTTTGTGTTATAACAACATAACATAGATATATTTTTTTTTTTGGAAAATCAGATGTAAAAAGTAGTAAAATGAAATTATTAAAGTTTGTCATCATAATAGCTGCTGTCGGTAGAAAGCATTATACTATTTTTATTTGTTCTATATTGTAGAATATGTAATATAATAGAGAATAATAGATGTTTTTTATATTTTTTATTTATTTTAAAATTTTTAAGTAATAAAATTTAAAATTTTAATTAGGAGATCTATTAGAAAACAAAAGCATTATATCATATAGAGAGTTTTTTAATTTATATTTTTAAGGTATAAATTAAAAAATACAACTAATATATTTTTTTATAATTAATTTATATTAAAATAAATATTAATTTTAAATTAATAAATTAATAAATAAAATTATTTATATATTAATAATATTAAAATAAATATTAATTTTTATATTTTTATATAAATTATTTTAAAATATATATTATATTTTTTATTTATATTTTTATGATAAATAATAATTGATATACAATTTAATTTAACACATTATATAATATATTTTATTTTATTCAATAAAAATTTAAATTTTTAAAAATCAAAACGATGACGGGGCTGCCTTGTCATTTCAATCAGACAAAAAATCAGCGATTTTTCTGGAGAAAATGGAAACCTGTGTATGTGTACTGGACAAATGGACAAATAAGCTCTCATCTCTAGAAAAGGAGAACCACAAATTAAATAATTTTTTCTGTAAATCGGCGAGTATCAACTTGAGGGGCACTCACTTTTTGGACTCTCCGCCCAACACTTTCATTTTTATTGAGCCACGCAAGCTTGTTTAAAGTTGTGAAATGCACTGAATTCGTCCAACATTTGATCGCTTAATTACCTCTTTTTAAAAATATAATTAAATATAATGATCTGAATTTTATTTTTAAATCTTACTCTTACAGTTCCCTGGGACTTCTTCCTGTTAAAAAAAAACAAATTGATTGCACTGAACTCACTTTGTCTTAAGCATCATCACATGTGCTCTGCACATCGCGTCTTTTCTTTAAAATCAATTCAAAAAAGTACTGAAATGATTAAAGTTTGTCATCATTACAGCCGCTTCCGGTGGAAAATATACCATACATTTATTATACTGTCTCTGTCTGGACCACTTGCCCAGTTGTGGTAGGCATTGAGCATTATGCATTCTTCGCTGTATACCACGTGTTGGTACAATTATGGTGCTGAGTTATTCACTGATTTTTTTTTAAGTTTGATGTGATTTTTTAATATTAAATTTATTTTTTTAAGATATAAATTAAAATTTATTAATTATAAA